TGGAGTCCCAAACACGGCTAAATATGGGTCACAGAACAGGTCACAGGACAGGGTAGGGCAAGTAACACCAATTGTAAATAGACAGAGGGATACTGAACTGTAAGAACTCAGTAAACTCGACTCGGACAAAGTTGTAATGGCAACTAACAAACCACTGAAGACGTGGAGTCCCAAACACAGCTAAATATGGGTCACAGAACGGGTCACAGGACAGGGTAGGACCCAAAGGGGCCACAGACATGTTAACTGCGATGCATAAAACTGAATCTTACAACGAGGAGGGGTAAGTGCAGAAGGTACAAACCTTCACCCTCAGGGAGAGATGGAGCACAGAGTAATTCATGCTCTTATAAGGGCTGGATGCTCCACAGGTCACCTCGAAGTGGCTGGCCCAGACTCAGACTCCACCCTTTGTGCCCCAGTCTCAACCCACAGCCTCAGGGGCTTAGCCTGGGGGCCTCTGCCTCCAAGTTTGTCCCAATGCCCCCCCTGAGGCCAATGCCTCCAACTTCCTTCCAGCCCCCCCCCCTCCCCGCCAGAGGTGGGACAGTGTTGAGCTTTTCGGGGACTGGATGCCAACTCACTGAATTTGCTCTCGTAGCTGTAGTCGGAGCCGCCCCCGCCCCCGGGGGAGCTGTAGGAGTTGGAGTAGTAGTTGCCTTGGCCGTGACTATAGCCTCTCTGCTTGCCCTGCGGGGGGCCATAGTTGCTGTACTGGCTCTGGTTGTAGGACTGCTGCTGGCCTGGGTGGGGCTGGTAGCCTGAGCCGCAGGAGGGTTTCTGCTGGCCCCCCTGTGGCTGTTTCTTCCCGGGGGGCACTGGGGAGCTGTAGTTGTCACCCTGGTAGTAGGAGCCGTAGCCAGAGGAGCCACCACCGCCCCCACCGCCGCCGCCACTGCCAGCATTCCCAGAATACCCTCCATTGCTGTAGAACTGACTGTAGCCAGCTGTTGCCAAGTTGCCTCCATACCCATAGCTGCCATAGCCAGCGCCAGCATTCATGTAGTTTCCATGGTTGGCGCCACCAAATCCTCTTCCTCTACCCCGACCACGGATGCTCCCTCCTCTTCCCCGCCCTCGAAGGTTTGGGAGCGGGGGCACGTTGTTGTGCATGGGGCCTCCCATGCCAAAACCAGGGATATGTGGCTTAGCAGCAAATTTCAGTCCACCTCTGACAGGCACAGGTGCTCTCTTCTTCTTATTGGCTTCCAGGGAGAGAGGGGCATCAGGGAATAGCTTTTCTAGCGCAGCAAGGGCAGCATGTGCTTTTGCCACCTTTTTATTTGAGCCAGCACCTTGAAACTTCTGTCCATCTACCTCAACCTCCATCACAAAGCGCTTGTCATGGCTGCCACCAGTCTCTGAGATGAGCTCATACTTGAGGCCATGCCTCTTCTCATTAAGTTCCATGACGGGGTTCTTGCCATGCTTGGTCAGAATCGGCCCCTGCTCGGTAGTGGGATCCACAGTAAAGGTGGCAGTGGGGGTCGAAGCGGCTTCTACCACAGGTGGAGGGGCCATGACAGCTGGTTTGGCCTCAGTTTCTTCAGCCCAGTCCTCCTCCTTACTGGAGTTTCTGCCTTCAGCACCGGTAGGCAAGCCCATGTCCTGTAACACCTTGACAGCCACATGCAGCTTGGCAGTCTTTTTGGATGGTCCGGAGGCCTCGAATGAGCTGCCATCTACTTCCACAGACATGGTGAAGATGGGGGCATGGACCGGCCCCGCCTGGGAAACCAGTTTATACTGCAGCCCGGGCTTCAGCTGGTTCAGCCTCATCAGGGCATTCATAGCCTGGGGAGGCGCTGCCTTCTCCTCTTTCTTCTGAATCTTCTTCTTCTTTTTGCTGGGAGGCTTTTCCTCTCCATCCTCCTCCATTGGGCGTTTCACTGGCGTAATGGCGTAGGTGGCACTGGGGGGGATTTGAGCCGTGTAGTCCACTGGGTTTTCATTCTTTGGTTTCTTGGGCATCTTAGAAGGCAGAGGGTCCATACCCAGGACTTTATGCAGCTGTCCAAATGCAGCAAGTCGCAGAGCATGCTGCGCACTCTCTGTGATATCTTCCCGTTGCTGTCTGTCTAGATGCCCAATAGCATCAGTGGCTTCTTTTTCACAAGGGTCATAAATGCCAGAACCATCTGAAGGCAGGAAACAAGGAAGATATGCAGAGGATTATCCTTTAGTGTCTCGGAAGAGTTGTACTGGCTGAGGGAACCAGATGCGTTACCCCCCGCGCCCCATCCACACCCAGCTCTGGAAAACACGCTGAGCTCGGTGACCCACTCAGCATCCAGCCCATGAGAGAAATAATCCACATGTGTCTCAGAGCAAGGAGCTCACATGGGAGTGGGTCACCAGTGCCCCGGATCCGCCCTGAGTCACAGCTGCGGAGCCGGCACAGGGCTGGATATGATGGTGCAAGAGGGTAGTCACATGCTTTAGCCCTATGGGGACATGGAGCTGCTGCTGCCCTAACCCGGTCAGGGGACCCGCCAGGAAGTGGCCTCAGGGCCTTGATCCCTGTCCTTTTCCTGTAACTTGCAAAGCACAAGGCCCCAACCTGGCATCACGATGCCTGACGCCAGGCACTCCAGCACTCTCCGCAGGGCCTCGCCAGCACCCATGGGTCTGTTGGCTGTGCCGATGGACTTTTCACAGAGAAGCTCAAGGGGCCATCCTCTTAGAGGACCCCAGGTGGGCACTCGGGTGCACAGGTCCCTCAGGACCCGGATGACAATAACACAAGACTTCAGCCCATTGGCTCTGTCCTGGAACCACTTGGCATGTTGGAGGGATGCCAAGGCAGCAAGGCATTTCTGCCTGTCCAGGACGTCCGGGGGGTCGTTGACTGATAGCGTTTCTCCAGCTAATATTTTCTCCATTTCTTCTCTGACAACGGGGGATGTCAGGTGGATAGTCAGGGACAATGGAGGCTCTTTTGTGTTTTTTATCACTATCGCAGCATCATCGACAGATTGGAGTATTTCGTACTTATCTTCTGTAACAGCAGCGAGCTGGATGGCCAGGTTGTCAGCCACCTTGTCCAGGAGGGCAGTTGTGGGTTTCTCCTTGCATAGCAGCACTAGCTCCAGGTCCAAGTCCCCTTTGAGCAGGAGGCCCTTTGCCACAAGGCCAACACGCATTACACCCCGCAGGGTTCTGGTCATATGCTCCATCTTTTGCTCCCCGGCCCCTTCTTTGCTCTCATCCTCCGGGGGCATGTCCAAGTTCTCGGACTCGGCATGTTCACTGCTGCCTTTCTCCTGTTCATCAATCCAATCAGACACAGCTTTGAGCGCCCGCTCTGTGTGGGACACCATGTTCTGGACTGCCTCCAGTTCCTCTTGGGTTGGATAAACAGAAGAATGCTTTGCCATCACGAGGCGATCATCATTCACAAAAATTCGCAATGGACGCATTTTTACTTCTTTTTCTGTAGTGTCTGGAAATAAAATTTTGCTTATATTTTCGAATTGTGACAGATTTCCTTGGTGTTAGCAATACTTCAGCTATCTTGTCAGCGTCCCTTCCCCAACCGCAACTGCCGCAGACCGCCTGCCACAACCCACCAGGATCTCTCCCGCAAAAGCCACGCGGTGCTCACCAGCTGCTGGGTCCAACTGCAATGGCGAGAAGAGGAGGAGGAGCCTAGGGGAGCCCTGTTCGGGTCCCAATTGTTGGGGTCCAACCCCAGCAGGTCCAGGGGTTCCCAAAGGTGTGGACGGAGTCGACAAAGACGGAATGACACGGAGACAGCGTTCAGTTGATCAGCAGCCTAGCCAGGTTCTCCAGCCAGGATCTCCAGCCAAGTTCTGTCTTTTATTGTCTTGTTACATCTGTATTTATACCAGTTGATTTTAATCCTGTCAATTTCTATTCCAAAGGATAGGGCGTTTCTTATCTCCATTCCAGGGAGTAAAGATTATGTAGCTTAAGGGTGATTGTTAAAGCGATTAACTACCCGCCTGGCATTTAGGTAAGAGGCTTTAATCCCTCCCTAACTTCAGGGAAAAATCCCTACCTGGGGAAACAACCTTTCTCAGAGAGGTGACCTTGGTTAAAACACATAGCGCCAAGAAGGGGAGCAAACATATTAAGAACAGTATGCTATATACGCCAGGTCCCTTGAAACATATGCTGTGCAGATGTTTCTTCCCTGCAGCGACTGTGTCAAGCAGCAAGGACGGACCGGCTTTTGGCACCTCCTGTCTGGATCAGGCCTGCGGGGATCTGGCCAAAATCGGCTATCCGACATCCCCCGAGGGGTCCTGGATTGCAAGAGGGCACAGGCCAGGCTGAGGGACCCCACCGGTGCACGAATCCGTGCAGTGGGCCTCTAGTATTCTATATAATAATCCTATATAGTAAAAGGGTAATATGCAAATTGACCCTAACTGCAGAACTACCAGGAACAACCAGTCGCTATGATGACCACTGACCACCAGGGGGCAGACACTCAATACAGGAGCTGCCCCCTGGTGGTCAGTGTGCTCCCACAGGGAGAGCTCTGCTTAGCCACAAGCCAGGCTGACCCTGCTAGCTAGTGCAGTGGTGGTGCCGGGAGCCTCTCCCGCCTCCTCAGCAGCATTAAGGATGTCCAACTGATGGCTTAGGCCTGATCCCCCAGGGAGCGGGCCTAAACTGGCAGGTGGACATCCCCTGAGGGGTCCTAGACTGCAAGAGGGCACAGGCCCGGCTAAGGGACACCCCCCCGCCCCCCTCCCGAGTGCATGAATTTTCTTGCACCGGGCCTCTAGTTTAGTATAAATGTCTTTGTATGCAGTAAACATCTTTATCAAATCCCTTTTGCTCCAGACATCTGGGACACTGTAAGTTCAAAGGACAAGAACAGTCTCCTCTAGTTCACTTGTACTGACTCTCATTATTGCCTCTGCTGCCTCCCTTGTGCCTTTGCAATTGCTTCCCAGAGTTGCAGAGGTGAGCCACAGAGCACCTGGAGCAGTGGTTCTCACAGTGTGGTCCCTGGACCAGCAGCATCAGTATCTCCTGGGAACTTGATAGAAATGCAATTCTGGGGCCCCACTCTAGACCTAAATTAGAAAATTCTGAGGGTGGGGTCCACAATCTGTATTTTAATAAGCCCTCCAGGTGATTCTGATGTGTTAAAGCTTGAGAACCACAGACCTAGAGTGTCATTGACATAAATCCTTGGCTCCACCTCTACATCCAATTAATTGCTAAGCTCTCAATTCCACCCTAGCCTTCCAGTTTGTCTGTCTTTGTCCTGGTTTAGACCATGTCAATTTCCATCTGCCCTGCTTCAGTAGCCTCCAGTAACCTCCTCCCCTCTCACCCCTCACTTTCTTTCAGCCTTTGTCAATCTCTGATATCACATAATCTCTCTGCTCCGATGATGTCATGCAGCTATTGGAATAAAATCCCAACTCCTTAGCTTGATATTCAAGATCCTCCAAAGTATCAAAGTATGGCTCTAGCTTTTTTTTTTTTTAAATCCTCACTTGCAGATTTATTTTAACTGATTTTTAGAATCAATAAAAGGGAGAAGGAGAGAGAGAGAGAGAGAGAGGAGAGAGAGGAAAACCTCGATGTGAGAAACATTGATTAGTTGCCTCCTATACATACCCCCACCGGGGATTGAACCCACAACCTAGGTATCTGCCCTGACCAGAATAGAACCCATCACCTTTTGGTGTAGGGAGGATGCTCTACCTGAGCTACCCGGCCATGGATAGCTCTCATTTTTAATCTTATTTCCTCCTTGTCCCTCCCTTTATCCACTTTATCCCCAAGTCATACAAAACTTTTCACTGCTTGCTCCAGATTCATCCTTTCTCATCTCTGTGCCTTTGCCTATGCTGTTTCCTCTACCTGGAATTACCTCTCACTCATCCCCACATATCTGCTAAGGTCCAGCTCAAATGTCATCTCCTCTATGAAGTCTTTTTCATTTTTCTAACTACTTCTATCCCTTTTTTGAACTCCCATAGAGTTTATCTTTACTTTTCTTATCCTATCTAATAAAGAGGGAATATGCTAATTGACTGCCATGCCCTCAAAGATGGCGGTGCCCACAGCCACAAGATGGTGGCGCCCAGTCCCCTCAGCCCCATTGGGACAGCAGACGTGCAGCATGGCCAGGCCTGCCCCTAGGCGGGTCCAGCCACTCGGCATGCCTGCCTCAGGAGTCCCCCAGTCCCCTCAGCCCCCCAGCCACCCAAGGCCAGCCTGAAGTACAAGCAAGCCTCAGATAGTGGCTGCCCAGCCGCCCAGGGCCGCCCAAGGCTCAGGTAACCAGAGTCGGCCAAGGCTTGCACTGCCAGCAGTAGCAGCAGCAGAGGTGTGATGGGGGCATCGTCTTCTCCTGATCGCTGGGTCACCTCCCACCCCTGAGGGCTCCCGGACTTTGAGAGGAGGCAGGCCGGGCTGAGGGACCCCCCTCTCCAGTGCATGAATTTTCATGCACCGGGCCTCTAGTATTTAATATAAATGTCTTTGTACACAGCAAACATCTCTGTCTGAGCCCTTTTGCTCCAGACATCTAGGACACTGTAAGTTCAAAGGACAAGAACAGTCTCCTCTAGTTTATTGATTAAATTACACTATGTGCTTACTTATGAACATTTTTTATCTTCCTATTAGGTAGTAAGGGGACAGAGCTATGCCCTTTTTCGTCTTTGCATCCCCTAAAATACCCAGCACTATGGCAGAGCTTAATGCATGGTTATTGAATAAAGGAATAAATAATGAATGAATGAATGAATGAATGAATGTTGGGTTCACATAAATAAAATTGAAAAATTTTTCCATTCGTTATTTTTCAAAAAATGTCTATCAAAATCAGTGATATTATTATGTTGTTTTTCTAACTAAGTAGTATCCATTTTAACTCCTCTCAAAACCAGGCCAATTAGAAAGCATAGATTATTTCACAGTTATCAAGGAAGATAGTGCTGGTAGAACCAGATCATTCCCACAGTATCTGTGGTTTGAGCAACAATATGGCAGAAGGAAATTACAAATTTTGTTGCTAACATTCACCTTGAACAACCTAATGGACAACTGAGCCCTAGCAATTTCTCTTGCTAAGCACAGTGAGAATAAAGCAGAAATGACTCTCAAAGAAACAGTTGCCAGAACCTTGGAAGTCCCCAGTTATAATTGCTGGCCTGGCTTGATTCCAAAGTTGGGAAAGAGACCTTCTGCTCAAACAGAATTAGTTATGCAGGCATTGCAATACCCAGCTCCATCTTGATGTCCCCACTCATCGGAGACCGTCCTCCACATGGGCTGAAAAAGGATGACTAAGGGGAATTGTCATGCCCTCAGCCACGGAGCACCAGCAACAGTGAGTTAAACACTGAACAGAAACCAGAACAGAAAAGATAACCCTGATTCCTGGGTTTACCTTTCAGTAGAAGGTGGGTCGCTGTGGAGAAGCAGACGTGCCTGGTGTGCTTCAAGAGCAGTCATGATTTTGGAAGGTTTTTAATGTCCCTGAAAATTCAAGCGTTAGAGATAGATGCAATCTCTTCTGTTAACAGGCTCTGGGCTGCTAGCTCTGTCTGCCCTGGACTTGCCTCTTCTC